CAATACATTTCAGAAGTGTTTTGAACACAGGGAAGGCAAGAGGACTAGGTGAATAAATGTGTGGTGAAATGGAGTGGTGGAATCAAAAATGATTCTGCCATTTTGAATGTCTGTCAATGATGTAAGGCACCCTTCGTAATGTTCTGTCTCACATTTTTTTTTTTTTTTTGGCCAATGGACTGACTATCAATTTTGGGTAGATCCAGAAATGGGACATTTATTATATTACTGCAAGTTCATTTTATACTATCAAACAATTTGCCTATATTGGTTGAAAAGCACAGAATTCTATTTCTGCCAATTCTTTCTTCCTTTCCCTCATTAATCTGTATAGAGAAACCTAGTAATGCCTTTCAACCTCCTCTACAAGTTTGCCAAGGGGAATATCTGCACAGAGACCTGGTTGGGCAAATGTCCTTTTTATTACTGGGTGACATTTTGGCTTTAATCTAGGTGGGAGACAAAGCAGGCCATGCTGCCCTTTTTCCTCTAAATTCAAAACAAAACAAGCAAAAAAGCCAAACCAAACCAAAGCAAAAAGCCAGTGCTAGGGCAGGGAGCAATGCTAAGAGCTCAAGGAGGTAATGAGGCAGCCCTGGTCCCCCTTACTTCAGCAACATTGGCAGACATTCAAAATGACCAAATGAGATTCTTAAGAAACAGAAATCCCAGGTGAAAGAGACCATGTTCCTAGCACTATGGCCCAACTATAGTGCTCTTGTCCCTGACCAATCTTTGTTAGCCTCACTTCTTAGAATAAAGGTTAAGTAATTAATAATGCAAAATGTCTATCTTCATAAATGAAGTTTATAACAATTAAAAAATTCTTAAGCATACACAGCTGTGGCTATGTATATGTACAGTTACTTCATTCACAAAATTAACAACACAACCACAAAACAACAGTCAGAAGAATGAGATCAAATAACTTGTTTTAAGTGACCAATCAAAAATGTTAACACACACGTGCAGACAGACATCATAATTGATCAGTAAAAAGTCAGTCAAAAATCAATCAATCATTATCTTGTAGCTTAGAAACAAGCATTGGCATATTGACTTGGACCATAGAAATATAGGCAAGTTGAATGAAAGGGGAGATCGCTGATATTCCATTGCTATGGTTAGATGTGCTTTGTTAATCAAAACACTACATATTTACATAACAAATTAGCTTCATATCTGCAGTCTATGCTTTTTGCTTGGCTATCACTTGGAAAGTTGACTCAAGAATGCCATTCCTTGCTTTGTGAGCTTGGTCTGACCTGAACTTTACCCCTTTACCTCCTCTGAAATAGTTGCTCTGCAAAGTTCAAATAAAAATCAGGCAGAGGTCTGAATTTTCTTTTCCTTTTCCTTTCTTTCTTTTTGCTGAAAAATTTATTTATTAATTGACAAAAATTGTACATATTTGTAGTGTAAATGATGTTGGGAAAACTGGATGTCCACATGCTGAAGAATAAAATTAGACTCTGATCTCACACCAAATACAAAATTCAATTCAAGATGGATTAAAAACTTTAATGTAAGACCCAAAATTATAAAATTACTAAAAGAAAACTTAAGGTAAAAGCCCCACGACACTGGCATGGGCAATGACTTTTTGGTTATGACCTCAAAAGCACGGGCAACAAAAGCCAAAATAGACAAATGGGATCACATCAAGCTAAAAAGCTTCTGCACAGCAAAGGAAGCAACAGAGTGAAGAGACAACCTGTAGAATAGGAGAATATTTATAAAATATACATCTAATAAGAAGTTAATATCCAAAATATATAAGGAATGCAACACAATAGCAAAAGCACAAATAACCTTATTTTAAAATGGGCAAAGGACCTGAATAGATATTTCTCAAAAGAAGACATAAAAATGGCCAACAAATGTATGAGAAAATACTCAGTGTCACAATCATCAGGGAAATGCAAATGAGAACCACAGTAAGATATGACCTCACATCTGTTAAAAAGACTATTATCAAAAAAACAAAAAAAATAAGTGTCAATAAAGATATGAAGAAAAGGGAACACTTGTATACTGTTGGTGGGGATGTAAATTACTACATCCATTATGGAAATAATGTGAAGTTTCCTCAAAAAATTAAAAATAGAACTACCGTATAATCTAGCAATCTCACTTCTGGGTATATATCCAAAGGAAATGAAATTAGCCTGTCAAAGACATACCTGGCCTCCTATGCTTATTGCAACACTATTCACAATAGACAAGATGTGTGATCAATGTAAGTGTCCATTGGCAAGATGAATGGATAAAGAAAGCTTGGTATATATACACAATGGAATACTATCCAGCCTTAAAAAAGAAATAAATCGTGTAATTTGTGGCAGCATGGACAAACCTGGAGGACATTATGTTAAGTGAAATAAGCCAGGGACAGAAAGACAAATACCACATCATTTCACTCAAATATGGAATCTAAAAAAGTTAGATTCTACCTCTCATTGAAGTAGAGAGTAGAATGGTAGGTACCAGGGGCGTAGGTGGTTGCGAGATGAGATTGAGGAGATGTTTAAAGAATACAAAATTTCAGTTAGATAGGAGAAATAAATTCAAGAGATCTATTGTACAACATAGTTAATAATATATTGTATTCTTAAAAAATGTTGAGAGTGATTAAAAAGTGTTCTCACCACAAAATGATAACTCTGTGAAGTAATACATAATGTTAACTAGCTAGATTTTGTCATTCCACAATGTATATATACTTTAAAACATCACGTTGTACATAATAAATACATACAATTGTATCTATATGTTAAAAAATAAAAATAAATAAGCTTTGTGCACCTTTCTCTTTCTCTGCTCCTTTTAGGGCACCCATAATACACATATTGCTTTTCTTAATGGTGTCCCATAAGTCCTGTAGGCTTTTTTTCACTCTTTTTTCATTCTTTATTTCCCCCTTCTGGGCAATTTCAAGTTGTCTCCAAGATCACTGATTCTTCTGCCTAATTGAGTCTGCTGTTGAAGCTTTCTGTGGAGTGTATCAGTTTAGTCATTGTGTTCTTCAGCTTCAGAATTTCTGTTTGGTTCTTTTTTATGGTTTCTATCTCTTTGTTGAACTTATTTTGTTTATGTATTGTTTTTCTGACTTCATTTAGTTGTTTGTGTTCTCTTGTAGCTTGCTGAGCTTCTTTAAAGTAATTTTCAATTTTTTGTTAGGCAGTTCATAGAGCTGTATTTCTTTAGGGTAGATTACTGATACTTTAATTTGCTCCTTTGGTGGTGTGATGTTTCCCAGATTATTCATGATCCTCTTGGACATATGTTTGGTGTCTGCGCAGTTGAATAAGTAGGCACCTCTTCCAGTCTTTATAGACTGGCTTTGGCAGGTTAAGCCTTTCACCAGTCATCCTGTCCAGAGGTCCTAGGCGGACTGTCTTGCAGGGTGTGTGGACAGACTTGCAGCTGGAGTTTTTAGGCAGGCTGATCTGATGCCTGGGTCAGCAGGTGGGTAGACCTAGAGCATGGGTCAATAGGAGCTAGACTGATACTAGGGCTCTGTGAGGTTAGGCCTGGAGCCTGGGTCTGCTGGGTTGGGACTAGAGCTTGTGTTTACTGGGTCAAGTCTGGATCCTGGGTCTATGCTACCGAGCCAGGTGCTGGGGGCCATTGGGGTTCTACTGAGTGAGTCTGTGAGAGTGGGTCTGGAGCCTATTTCTGTGGGAGCTGGCCTGAGCCTGGGTTCATGGGGGCTGGCCTGCTGCTTGGGGGAGCCTGGGAGATCTAAATTTTCTAGTTCCCATTGCTCAACTTGTTAATTAAAAGGAATAACTATAATATTATAATAGTGAGTGTTTCACTAAATGTCAAACATAATGTTAGGCTTTTAGATACATTGTCTTGCTTAATCTTTACAATAAGCTCACAGAGCAGTGATTATCCTATTTTATGGGTATGAAAATCATATCTCACAAAGGTTAGGTAATTTGACTTAGGTTACTCATACACCAGCTGGCAGAGGTAAAATTCAAATTAATCTCTGAGTGACTTTGTGTTTTATTTATATGAAACTCTGAGGATATTTTTTGATGCAGACACTTAGGTTTTCTTAGACTAAGTTTATGTGTGACTATGAATAAACTATGGTTAGGGGGTTTGATTGGGTTTTGGGGAGTCATTTTTTTAAATTAATTGTTATAGTATTGCTTTTATTCTGGTTTTATTGTTAACAGGCTACATAAACTATTTGACACAATTTTCCAGGGTAATTTTTGAAAAAGAGATTTAGTCCATCTCCATATTGAATGAATCAGCATTTTTCATACTTTCTAATGGTCACATCAGATTGAGGGGTGCATTATGTAAGAGAGAGAAGACAACTTCAAACAGGAGGGACAGAATCATTGGCTTTATATGAAGAGAAATGCATGTATGTATATTCCTTTAAAAAGATTAATATTCCATGCTACATTTGCCACCAGAGGGAGTCATATGAATACCATAACATATTATCAAAGGAAAAAAATAATCATTAACTATTTTATTCCAGTTCCATTGATATTTCAACTAGCATTCAGAATTTGATAGAACTGATGCAACTAAGGGAAAGGACTTAAACATCTCACTTTAATTAATTAATTAAATTAATCATAATGTAGGTTTAAAAACAGAAGAAATGTGTTACTTAAATAAGTAATGCAGGCTGAAATATAAATTTCAAAACAGACTAATAGACATATTCCAGATTTCAGCAATATGAGCTTAATGTTATAATTAAACTAAAAAATCAAGCTGTGATCTTTTTAGTTCCAAAAACTATTATCCATTATTATCAAAACACTGTTTAAATAAGTTCTGGAATCAATAATTTTATTGTTTCATCAAGCATATTTTATTTTATCATTATAATGTCTGTACCAGGATGACTGGGATTGCTATTATCAGTAAATAAAATAAAAGTGCTCTGAAAAAGAAACTTAATAGATAGCAAGATTCCATTACCAAAGGCAATTTTATGTACTGTGCTCTCTGAAACCCAGGACAAGAATTTCTCAATCGATGAAGAAGAGGAAAAGATGGACTGTTTAGTAACTGGTAAGTTTATAACCCAATTTATTTTATATCTAATTTTAGAATTGTTCACTCAATAGCATTTATTGAATGTCTGTATACTTCAAAACATCATATGGTACATAACAAATACATACAATTTTATCTATTTTTTAAAAAAATAAAAATAAATAAATAAGCTTTGGTGGTATCATGTTTTCCAGATTATTGATGATAAATTTGGCCATATGTCTGAAAATATGAACAAGTGGGCATCTCTTCTAGTATGTATAGACTGGCCTTGGCAGGGTAAGCCCTTCACTAGTCATCTATTCCAGAGGTTCTAGGCAAGCTGTCTGGTATGATCTGTAGGCAGACTTGCAGCTAGAATTTTGGGGCAGGTTGCCACAGCACTAAATTTTCCATTAAAATCAAGATCCAGTGACAGTCTTAGAAAGATGAGTTCTGAAATGATATATATATACTTTTTATATAGTGCTTTTCAAAATGTGGTCCCTAGACCAGCCCCACATGATTACCAGGGAATTTGTTCAAAATACAAATTCTTGAATCTCAGTCCAGACCTACTGGTTCAGAAAGTCTAGGGGTGGAGCCCAGCAATTTGTGTTTTGACAAGTCCTCTGTGATTCTGATGCATACTTAAAGTTTGAAAGCCACTGATAGTCTCTTGAAACTAAGTCTATTACGGGCTTCCGAGTTGAGGTTTTTCCAAGTTCTTGGTGTTCATCAGGAAAAAAATTTCAGGCTGCATGATGTAAGCCAAGCAAACAACAACTTTTTTTATTGAAAGTGAAAGTACACTCTCAGGGAGGAGAGTGGGCAGGCTCAAAAGGGATCAGCTGCACTGAAAGGAAGTGATTTTAGATCTTTTGTAGTCTTACTAATTGAGGGGAAGAATACTCAAGGCCAAGAGGTTGGCTTTTGATAAAAATTTGGGTAGTAATTCCTAACATTGGGTTCCTTCCTATTTTTATACTTTGTATGGTTGTCCTGGAACTGTCATGGTGATTTCAAGAGCAGAGAAATTTTAAAACCACAATGTAAATGATATTGTAATTAGCCAAAGTTCATGTAAGGTGGCAGAGATAACTGACAAGCAGGTTGAAGCCAGTTCTTGCCTGTGGTTATCAGCCCTTCTAATTAGCTTCTGCTTGAGGGTTGTTTACTTTAGCAAGTCCAGCAACTTCTGCAAATTGGAGAATGTGCTTTCTGTCTGTATTTTATTACAGTAGTTATTTTCTTCTGGGTAAATTTTAAAAATTTACAAAAATTGAATGGATGATCATGGTAAAAAATGCTTAAAAATCACAACCTTTGTAATATCAAATAGTCATAAAGAAATTGAATTTAAAAATAACGTGTTAGAGAATCAAGAGTAAACTATGTTAAAGAAGGAAATTTTTAGTTTTTTTCTCTTTCCACAAGCATTGCTTATACTCAAGATCATAGTTAACTAATTTTTACATTTATAATTTTGAGATTATATGGTTGTTTAAAAACTTTGAAATAAGATGCTTTAAAATAGCAAACTTTATAAGGGCAAAGTAAAATTTACCTAGAAAATAAGAAACAAGGTTAAAATTATAAGATGTCCTTAACTTTATACTTTATGTACTTTTGTATTATCTGACATTTTTATAAGATGCATGCATACTTTATAATATAAAATATACTTCTAGTAAATAAAAAGCATTTTAAAATTATTTTTAAAAGTCTAGTTGCAAGCAAGTAACTTGAATGTGACATAGAATAAACCTGGTTTTTACTTAGGTTTACCCAATAAGTACTGAAAAGCTGATATGAATATTTTGTATCACATTGATTATTTCAGATATAGTTAGCCATGCACAATGCAATCAGATTAAAAATAGGTGGCCCAATTAATTCTTTTGATTGACCTACATGCATGTCATTGATTTAACTGATCATTTAGAATGACCTTAGAGATTGATTTGGATAATTTTGTCACAGAGTGTTATAACACATAGGGTACAAAATCATAGGCACACAAAGAAAATACAGCATCAAAGGTTTGGTTGATGTCCTTTCAATCAGATTGACACATCAAACTAAACCCTCTAATTATTTGCCTTTCCTTAGATACAAAGAATAATGGTACAACTGATTCTTTCCTCTCTTTCCAGGAAAAGTTAGGTTACATACACATCTGTTGAAGATAGGATAGGTGGATGAATGTCTGAATTTACTTGACTCTTCTGGAGGAAGCAATTATAGTTTTTGGGTTTTCTTCCTGTTCTTGAAATGGCCAAATTCCCATAACAGAAAGAAAAATATTGGACTGGAAATTATCCATCTATAGTCAAATTCCTGAAATCTTAGAAGGTGAAGAATGAAGTCACAATAAACTTTCTACAACTCATTTCATCTTTTGGGGTCTCAAAATTGGAAGCTGCTTATTAGTCTTTTAAGACTATGCTCATGGTTGTGCATGGTCACTGATTGAACTTAAGTGAAGAGCATATTGTTAGGGCAGCATAGTTTCCCAGTGAGAAACCATTGACTTTCTCTGTAGAATTTAACCTGAGCATTGTTCAGTGTGTGTTATCTTTGAAGAAGTTTAAAAAAAAAACACAAACTGGCAACTCAGAATTTCATACAATGATGTTTAAAATAAAAAACATGCAAGTAAGTTTTGCAAATGATTATACTCCTATATATTATCATTATTCATATGAGCTATGATTATTTTTTAGGAGTTTCAGAAACACTGTATTTGTATGTTTGTATTGTTTTTGTTTTTACAAGCATCCAAGAGAAAGAGTTAGTTTTAAAACTTTTTGCCAGTTATCTAACAGAGGCAATACAACCTGGTGACGAATAACATGGGTGTTAAGTCAGGTTTGATTTGCATCTCTATCATGTGTAAGCTGTGTGGTGTTGGACAAGGATAGTTTAATTTTCTTTGTCCTTTGCTCCCATTGCTTTATTCACGAAGTGGGAACAACAATAGCTCATTCTTTCTGTGAGGATTTTATGTGACAGTGCACAAAAATTACAGCTATTTTTAAATTAAACATCCTGTGGTTTCTTTTGTTATCTCCTCAAATGTAAAGAAATAGATGAAGTTAAGTTTAAGACCTGTGAATATATAATTATGCCTGGGAGCATGCCTCTTGAAACTTGAACACAAAGGATTTTAATTAATCTTTTATCTTATTTACCACTATTATTTAGTGCAAGTGTGTGCAAATCCTGTGACAAGAAAATCATCTCAAATAAAGAGGTTATTATCTTATTGACTACAATTATGAAGCCTTTTGAAAAATCCCCCAAACACTGTATTTGTCATTATAATTGTTAATTATTAAAATTTATGCATCAATAAGGGAAAGATCAGGAAATGGAGAGAGTATCTTGTTTTTCTTCTACTTTTATATTGATTAAAATTTTGGCACATTGTTTACATTTTAAGAAAGATATTTTTGTAGCTGCTAAACTATTATTGAAGCTAATATTGACATAAACCTTATTTTTTCTTTGGAAGAAACATATTGATATATAATCTATCTATATACATATATGAATATGTATATATATACATACATATATATATATAGCTGGTAAAACTATACGTGACAGTGATTAAAGGGCTGTCAGTTAGCTTAAGAAAAGAAGAATATTAAGGAGCTTGTGACCAACACTGTACTGTGAACTTTTCCCTCTCTTAACATAAGAAGAAAGCATGAAACAGAGAATAGAGAGATTATCCCTTCATAATTTAAAAAGCAGATGACTTTTGGTTCCTAGTTACTAAAAAGATGTCTTTCAGTGTAACAAAATCTGTGCAAAATGGGAAGGGTAGCTATATTATGATAAAAATATCTCCTTAATTTTGTATTTCATTATTTTAAGTAGCATTTATCTCTCCCTATGATCCTATTTTTTTCTGTGCTGTGAAAATCAGCTCAGATTCAAATAGCATAAAAAAGAAAGCTATTCAAAGGAAAATATAGCAATCCTTAAGAAGATTTCTTTTGAATAGATAATGTTGCAAGGTGGAGATGAAGCTAATGTGCTAAACATTTTTTGCTGTAAACATATTTCATAATATTTGAAAAACAGTTTATCCTAAGGTTTGGAATTACTCTTATTTCCAATTTGGTTTTTACTGCACTTTTACTTGATTAGGAGAATAAATAAATATAGATGAGATAGATGTTACTGATTTTTGAAACCCCTGTTTATCAAAAGCTGGGGCAACTCACTACTCCAAGGTAAATTTGGATGTCTGTAATGGTTGAGTCATTGAATTTGTTGGCTTTCTTCCAAGTCCATAGGCATACATTTTTAAGACCAACTCTCACGCTAGTCCAGGATCACAGATTAGACTGATTTAACACAACTCTTAAATTCCTTAAAATTGCACTTTAACCAGCAAGGCAACTTGTTCATTTCTTTCAATATTCATTTGGTAGCCATTTGTCTACCCAGTCATCCATCATTTACTAGATCCTTCCATCTATCCTCCTTCCATTTCCTTCAAAAATAATTTTTTAAAAAAATAATATAATTTCTCAGTGATGAATTTAATTTGTTTTAGTGTGCTCTGTTTGTTTACAGATAAAAGCCACGGGTTCTACTTCCAATATTGTTATCTTTTCACTGGGACAGTGATTTTTTGTTTCTCTTATTGTTTCAAACAAATTTTCACGAGCTTTAGTTTTCACTGTTGTCCAGAAGAAATTACTGGAGTTTTACTAGTATATTGTGGCCAATATAAAGATAATTATTAAATCACATTGAAAAAAATTTTGCACACATGTACATATATTCTTCTTCTTATATGCCTATGACATTCTGGCTACTCCTACTTGTGATTTGGTACAAGTATGTCTATATGGACAAACATAGAAAAAAATGATATAAATCTATACTGAATGATAGATTTTCTCATGTAATTCAGGAAGATATTATCTTGTCCTAGCTTAGTGTAAAAGATAGCGAATGAGACTGTCTTGAAAATATTACCTCAAATATTTCAAATTTTATAATGCTATTTTGTC